GCAGGAATAGATATCTTGGGATGAAGGATGATATTAGAATGCACTTAAGCCATGAAAAGTTGAAAGGCAGAGACAAATAAGTTTTGGATAGAAAGAGAATCAGATACATAAATACGGTTTGATTTTACAAACCAGGAAAACGATCTTGCAGAATATTCTAAATGGCTAGATAACATTGCATTGGCCAAGAAAAAGCAATTACTGAAATGAAGATGCAAAATAAGAACATTTTAACTGTGGTAATGGTTATGATAGGCCATATCTAACAAAGGTCTCAAAGAAAGAATCTGCAAGATTTGGACACACATCAAACACAAACATTTAAAGAAAGTCCCAAAGTGAAGATTATGTGCCAGATGGTACAGTCATCCTTCTCATCTGAAGTGAATAAGAAAGACAACAGTGACAGGGGAAAATTAATAGCTCCATTTTTACCAAGTAGAATATAAACTGATGACTAGCAATTCACAATAGGATGCCGAAAGGAGACAGGAGGATTTTAGTTTTTAAAGTGAAGAGAGATTTATTTGCAAACAGTGAATCTCTAAAGCACACAAATGTTACAATCCAGTACTTTGCTTAAGTGCTTGGATATAAACTCGGCTATCTACATTAATAAATTATGTTTTCTGATCGCAAAAAGCTAAAGCAACCCCAAGATGTGCAAGTTGTACAGAATGCAGCGACAGTATTTCTTTGACCTATCATTTGCAAAATTCTAGAGGCCTTAAAAATGGGACCAACAGGCAGGAATGGCGGTTCAAGTGATTAGAGTGTCAAAGTAGTACATTGCTAATTCCTTGACTATACAGGAACCACTTAGTATATTTGCATTAAATGGAATGCTTAAATAAATCACATAAAAATTGGAATCAGGAGAAGCAGGGGGACATCACAGGCAATGCAGGAGAGCAGAAGGATATCACAAGCAATGGGGGAGAGAGGAAGAGGTCATAGTCTTTTTCTGATTGGTCTGAGGACATAAGAAGGGGCTTATCAGCCCCCAAAGTTCTTTTGAAGTCCCTTTCCAAGAACAGGCATCCACAATATGCGCTGCTGCAGTTCGCTCATTTTTATGCCCAAAATATACACTAAAAAAAGCTCACGCAATGAATACAAAAAACCCCATGGCTGCCAGTTACTCTCCAAAAATTATCTCCATTGCTTTACTTTTCCTCTCCTGCAACTCTGTTTCTAACTAGCTAGTCAACAGCCCAACTTTTTGTTTCTCTGCAATAAAACTAACATGCACCTTTAAGCCCATCTAGTGTGAAGAGTCATTTCAATTAAAATGCTAAACCACTGCTCCATAACTAACACATCTGTATGCATTAGTATGTACAGGTATCCCATAAAAATACTGACACAACAAAAATATATCAGGAACTTCAGGAATTCAGACATGACTTCCACCAAGCCAAACAGATCCAAGTGAAAATCTTCCCCCAGAGATGAAACCAGCAAAGATCAGTGTCTGCTGCAGCAAAAGTAGGTAAGGATTGCTAAAATACTTGCTTCTCATGAACTCTGGAGAGTTCAGTTTTGATTTGTAAGTGAGACTAAACAGAGATCTAGTATGGTGAAAAAAAATCAAACAGAATCTAGGAGAGAAGTACGGAACTCCCACAGAAATCCCAGGGATACTCCTTTCCTGAAGACATGAGAAGAAAAACAGGTAAGAATAACACTGCAGAATTCAGGTAAGAAAAAATATTTCAAAACCATCATGGTCACCTCTGTGGAGAGCAAAAGACATTTCCAAGAAGGCAAGGACAAAACAGTAGTTTGAAGTTAGGACCAGACGGAATTGATTAGGTCACATCTTCAGGTGATTTATACAAAAACATTTTCATTACCCGTTGAATTGCTGCTATACATCACTTACTTGCAGTGAAAAGCTGATAGTGCTAACTCAAACCAGAAAAGGAAACCTCATTTTAAATGACTGTCTGCAAGGCTAGATATCAAATGATAGAAAAGTTCTGAGCAAACACTTCAGAGTATAGTTATTCAAAGTCAAATCTCTAGATAACTTTACTTAAGAAATTAAGTCACTGAAATTTTAGTTTATTGGGTAGTAGCAAGGGAATAGAAAAACCAAAAAAAGCATTAGATGAAACACAAATGGGTGGTTTACTACCCACACACAGCCATTCAACAGAAACTCAGTCTTGATTGAATAACAATGCTACTTTTGACTTGAGACTCTGAAGCCACTAATGGTAAATAAATTAATGCCATATTTGTTTCTT